ATTTAAACCATTTACCTTTTATAATAAAAGCTCAGTAGGATTTTTAAAAAGCCATAAATTCACCTCTGAATTCGCATCGTTTTTCCTTGATACTCACGGTTTTCTGCACAATCTTACCATTAAGCACAAAATTGCAAGGTAGAGAAAATCGCGAGTCGATTAGTTATAAAATGATAAAATGTTTCGTTTGATTGTGTGATCAAGAATGTAGTAAATTGTCGATACCTTTTCATATTTCTTTGCCTGTGGGCAGGAAAATGCTAAATGGAGTTATCTATCATAATTGTGTAGGCCAGTCTGCTGGTATTATACTGAAATCTCCCGGTATGTTTGACCTGAATTTGCAGGTTTCCAGTGCCCAGAAGTTAAGAGTTCTGTATTGCGTGACTTACCTTGTTGTGTACACAAAACTTGACAGTGTTGACCACATCTTCCACTGAGGCCACTCTCACGAACGCACAAGGCTGACGCGTTCGGATAACAGCATTCCACGTTCCTTCAATCTCGTTTTGGAAAGTTTTGTTATTTTCCGATTTAAAAATGACAGCACCTGAAAGAGCAACCTTTAGCGAAGAAAAATCTGCCATTCTCACTGACCCTGCCTACAGCCTTTTGAGCTTCAAAGAGCACAGAAATCTGGGGGTCACGCGATTATTGTCACAGAGTACTGGGGATGAGTCAAGCTTAGGAGCCACTCAACAGCGGTCAAAATTGCGAAATCAGTTGAAAATTTTTTTTTTTCAGTTTCCGTTTTTACGATCGCGTGGTATCCAGAAAAAAGAGGCAACAGTTGGAAAAGAAACGTTCTAAACAAATGTTGCTTTAGCTATAGGATTGCCATCGATTTTTTACTTCAAAACTTGTTCGGTCAAGTTATTATCAACTCTGGTTGGACTCTGGTTGTCCACGTGCGTTGTGTACAGCGTCACTGTCATTAGTCCAGCTGATCGCAGAGCGATGTTTTTATAAAAACAACGTTTTGAAAAGTATTGACTTATGCTTAGACGTTACATCTCTCTCATTAAGTCTGTTACGTCGTCGATTTCCAACGTCCGACATCGTATCGCCTCTATGTCATCGCAAGGACTCGTATTAACAGGTACCAGCGATGAGGAGCTGGAATGCTGCAAGAGGACACAGAACGGTGCTGGTCTCTGCTCTTGTAACGAGGTGTCTATCAAAAGAACTATATCCTCTCATACAAAGGCGTCTGAAGAATCACAAGACCACAAAGCAAGAGAAGAATTACAATGGAATAAGTTATCTGAAAATGAGAAGAATATATATTTTGCGCATAAAACTGCATGCTTGGTAAGCAGTGATAAGCCACTACTGATAAGTAGGCATTGACTCTTTTATGTGGCTTGAAAGAGTGTCCCACTCTTAAACACGTGTCTTAAAAGACACATATTAAGAATAGGTAATTTAAGAGTGATTACGATGTCATTGCTGTAACCATGGCAAAGGTACATCTCTGTGAACACAGAATATCAGTATGAGACACTGAACATATTCTGAGGTAAACAGGAATGTCTCGTGCACATTTTATTCTAGATTTCTTAATTCAATGCAATATTTTTATTTATAGTGAAATACATGCATTATACTGTTACGATATTTATTTTGATTTAAGCATAGGACGGTTTATGAGTGCATCGTGCATGAGCTGGATGAGTGCCATTTGTGTGCACGTGCAAATGGCAACATTTTGTATGGTATGAATGAGAATAGTCTCCTTCACAGCCATTTTTAGGGTTGTCACGCAACACTCCTCCCTGAGCAATGCTCCTCCCGATGGGGAGGGGCATTGTGTGAGGACCCTAAAAATGGCTGTGAAGGAGACTATGATGAGAAGGATTTGTTTTGAAATCAAGAAATTTGTTCATATTATGCTGAAACTAAACATCCAAGACTGTTGTAAGAGTGAGTGAGGGAGTAAAAAGGGAGGAAAAGGTGGATGAAATATACTTTTCTCTTTATCAATGATTGGAGTCTAAGATCCCACAAGAGTGCTCCCAATACTTGTTCTTTCTGTTTGTTGTGCAGCATGATATGGTGGTCTGGAACACCCTTTCAGCTTTTTTCAAAACCAGCAGGCTCAAAAGGTTGTCTTCGGCTCTAGGTGCCTCTGTCCAACTCAGTAAAAACTGCACCACAGGTATTAACTATTACAGGACATGCTAATTCATGTTATGCTGTGGAGGTTAATTTTACAGCAGTAGACAAACTTGTTTGCTGCATGAATCAAGTGGAACTTTAATAGCAGAGCTTTGACAGTTTTATTGTTTTTTAATGTTATTTACAAAGTGAAATTTAGAAATGTTTATTGAAGACCCAGTTGTCACTAGCAACATTTTTCACAACTTAGCTTTTTTCAATTTTTTTTGTTGCAGAAGGGGGAAAATACTTATACTGATCCTGTTACCGGATACATGGTCTTCACAGAAGAATTTCTTAGAAAACGCAGGGCTTGCTGTGGAAATGGCTGTCGTCATGTGAGTTGCTACTGTCTTATTCTTAGACTATTCTAAAATAGTCTTATGTTTCTGTTTCCTCTCAGGAAAATAAAATTGATAAGAAAAACTAGTAGGATCACAAACTTTTCTTCTAATATTTAAGTGCTGGCTCCTAGTAAAAGTAGAACCATAGCACTATTGACCTGCAAAACCAGTAGTTTCCATGCTAGCCCATCCTTATTATATTTTTCTAGGCTGAGAGAGAATGGAACTGTCCCTTGCTCAAGATGATAATTTTTTATTTGGCTTTTTAATTTTTTTTCTCTTTACAGTGCCCATATGGTCAAGAAAATGCACCAGAACAAAGTAAAAAGAAGTTTAACTCTGCATTTTATGTGTGAAACAAAATTTTTTTTAGGGTATTTAAAAATGCCAGGATTAACCGAATAAGTCTGTGAGTAATACACAAAGTGTGCAATACCACTGTGAAGGAAGGAATGGTTAAAAAAGGATGTTTCACCAAGTGATGGATACTTATTAAAATGTCATTAAATAAGACTGGGAACTGGTCATTCTACAACACACAAGAAGTATATTAAAATAGACCAATCACTTAAAAGCTCTTTTTGTTGTTGTTATTGTTTTTATACTATGTCTGGAATATCATGTACGAGCTACTTCAATGGATTATAGGCTATTAATGAAACGTTCTAAAATCACATTTTTGTGGCACATTCACCCGCCACATCATTGATTTTTTATTGGCAGATTCTGTCTATTAATACTAAGTCTAAGAAGTTGATTCCTTTTGAAAAATTATTGAGTTAACTTCTCAACCCTTGCACTGACTCGCAGAGTTAGTTATGGAAGTTCCAACTTCTCCATCTGTGGACAGTATCCTACCCCAAAGTACCTCTAAGAGTTTTTGCCGCCTAGTGCGGTCATTATTAGCCTGCAGAACAGGCATAATAATTGTTCGTTTGAGCAAAAGGAAGAGCTGAGTGAGGGGCTTGAGACAAGCGCCACAGGGGAAGGCCCTTCGCTTGCCTCGTGCTTGCCTTTTGCGAACAAATGCTGTAAACTGCTGCTTATAAGCCCTAGGTTTATACACGTTCATAAGGGGTTTTGGGTGGGCTTATAATTGGGGGGGGGGGGGGGCCTT